TTTTTTTTCAATTCATTGAGTTCAAAACTCACGCTACTCCTACTGCGCTACTCCATCTTGTGTTTAACTTATCAATATTGTCAATGATTTGTTGACGGCCAACAGCGCGCCTTCCAGCAACAACAGTATCCTGCTGCTCGTCGTGCTCCATTGAGAGACGAACCTATGAGCCAATACCACATATGAGTCTCCAAATAAGTACATTTCAACCGACTTGTTGCATATATTTGTCAGTTGATTCGATGCAATTATGGAGATTGTTAGCTATCGCGATCTGCAATTCAACAGATTTTGGAGTAAAAACTCAAAAATGTGATCTAACATACTCACCATTGCGGAAGTAAACTCTCTGAAGTTGCTTCTATTCTCGAAGTATCTATTGCGATAGGAAGTGAAGGCCTCTAAAATGCGACTCACTCTCCCGTCCTTCAGTGTATTTATTCACAATCACATACCTTTATAACGGTTGGCAAAAATGAAAAATTCTTCTATTGTAAGATTGATAACATTGGGTATAACTTCAACGCTAACTTCTTTTGCAAGTGTGACCTGAAAAGAGTATGTGCCAAACAAACAAACTTACATAAGTTTTCCCGACTATATATGGCTCAGTACAAACGCTCTCAAACGTTGCTCCATGCCAATTAATCACATCCCCAACTATCAAAAAATGAAATTTGATGGAGTAGTGGCGTCCTATAAATCTGCGAAGGGGAGAAAGACGGAAGGTGAAAGATTCTTTCGTGAATAGCTACTAATTCGAATCTACATAAAAAATAAGAAACTGATCATTTCAGGGGAGTGATGGTCAAGAACTGGTAAAGCCGATGGTTTTTTCCCTGCACACCAAAATCTATTGCTCGAATGATCGAAAGATTTTCACCTTTGACAGATCCCAAATTTTTCCCAGACTCAAAAAGCAGATAAGGCACAAGATCAGAAATACTGATGCATCATTCGAGCTTTTTGAGTCTATTTCAACAATTATTCCTGTAATCTGATTTTTCAAATTTCAGAGTAGAATTTTGCATCAAGAAATTTCTGTCACAAAAATCCACCGAAAAGGCGACCCGTTTAGTTGACCAGAGTTGTGATAGTGGAAATCCCCAAAAAAGAATGGACCAATGTCGAAAATGAGAAAATGTAAGAATAAGCCTGACATTGACTCCTCAAGGAAGAGCGCAACTACAAGGGTTAAAAAAGCTGCAAATTGGTACGGTGTAGGGGCACTTTCTTACGAGTATCTGGATGCACTTGGCAAGAAGTTATTGAGCGAAGAAGCTTCTAAGCGAAGCTTCTAGCCTCTTTTGCTTCTAGCTTCTTTTTACCGTAAGCGAAGAATCTCTGCCGCATGCGGTGCACGTCGGTGAAATGAGTAGACGAATTTCATGAGATGAAGCAGACATTCAAGTCAACGTGCTGAGAAAGCGAACATAGGTAGATGTCTTCAGAATCAAAAAAAGGCAGTAAGTGTAGACATTTGAATGAGGATTGATGCGCATTGCTTGAAGAGAGCAAAAGTGGGGATGTGGAGTCTGACCCAATGGGATATCAAACTAGAAATCTCAGATTTTTCCTGCATTGAAAGCTTCGAGGGGCCAAAATTTTTGAAAGATAGGCTGCTTGGGTATCGAGCCCTAAAATATAGATTTCGGAGAATCAAAAGCATATAATGCTGGCATACTTGGATAGTTTCATTTTTTCACCGAGTCAGAAAAAGCGACGTCACAGAAAGAGAAGATTGTTCGGGTAGCAGATTTAAAGAAAATAAATGCAGAAAAGGCAATATTAGGTTCAAAATGACAGGAGTGTCGACAAAAAGGTAGTAGTGAAGCTTCAAGAGACATGGTGAAGCAATGTCGAATCAAAATGCAAGCATAGAGGACATAGCATAGAAAAACTAAAACATGACTGGACGCAGAAGTGATAGAGGTGTTCAGTTTCTTTTGATTCATGGAAATAGAAAGGAAAACCCGAAATTACCGTATCTCTAAGCATTCCAAACATTATGTTGGGTAGACTAGTGTAGAAGTACCCAAAATTATCTTCTTCGGGACGTACGTGCTTATTCCAGTCCTGAATAAATTCAAAAAATTTAAAGAGATCCATGGATGTCTGATACTCACGTCCTTTTCGGCGCTAAGAGTCTTCTCGAGCCAAATCTTCATGTCGCTGCGCGTCATGTCAACGAAACTAAAACAACATGGAAGTTTGAATGCAGGAAACAGTTCGGTCATATATAACCAAGAGAAAAGTATGCTCGAGCTTACCTATCGTAAAGCGAATTGAGTGTAGTTCTCGACAATACTGGAACATCTTCCAACAATGCGGCCGCATTGATTTGCAAACGACGATTTCCCAGAAGATCTTCACCCCTAAATATAGCCGACGTTTGGTTAAATGATGTCAGTTACATTACTTGGAAGTACCCTGGCTGCCAAAATTATATAACATTTCTAAGAAAAAAAGACATAGAGGAGCAGGAGGATCCAGAGGTGAAATTTTTTGCCTCCAAAAGTTTCTGCAGGTAAGTTTTTTCCACTAGTCACTATCACTTCAACAAGTGGTCAAAGGCAAACAAACTCACCCATAAGTCTGTATCCAACTCAGTAACTGAACGAGCTCACTCTTCTCCAAATGCTCCGAAGCAATTTCGCGAAGCTACAAACTACCAGTGAAACACTTGCAAATGCTTATCTAGAAGATAACCTACTCACCCGCTTGCAAACACAGTTGTGGTACATGTGAACAAATCTATCATAGATCTGATAATCTGGTGGGAAACAAGGAACTGCAGCACGAGCCAACTGTAGGTCGTCTACAATCACTTTCCGGCAGACCTCCAAATATCTGAAAAGTAATGCAAGGATACCAAAACTCAGAACATATATTGTGAGATGTACCTGGCAAGCCAGGCTTTGTTTAGGGAGCGATCTTCGAGCTGATTTCCCTCGACACGGCTCCAAACAGTTTTTTCAAGTACCTGAAGTAGGTGAGTAAATTTTTCATATGATGGAAACTCAAAAAGTATGCCTTTTGTGGTAAGAAGATGCATTGATTGAAAGGAAAAAAGTAAGAGAGGCCAAAACTGATGATACCATAACAAGGAGCTAGTAGATAGACTTATATTAAGGAAACTAACGACATTAACTATCCAGAAAAAAA